AAACTATGCTTCTCCACAAGAACTTTATATTTTCTCCTGAGAGACTGGGTGTTTCTTCGCAAGAACTTTATCTTTTCTCTTCAGAAACTCGGCGTTTCGTCACAAGAACATCATTTTTTTTGTTGAGGCGATCGATGTTTCGTCACAAGATCTACATCTATTCTCTTGAGTAACTCCATGAGTCGTCACAAACACTTCACCTTTTCTCTCTCGAAACCCCGTGGTTCTCCACAATAACTTCATCTTTTCTCTTGAGAAACGGTATGTTTCGTCACAAGACCTACCTCTTTTGCCTTGAGAAACTCGATTAATTAAAGACTTGTAAAATTCTGTGACCTACACGGTTCTCGCTAGTAACACATAATTTCGAAGAAAAAAAATACTCTTATCTCCCTTTTATTTGACTCACGTGAAATATATGAGAAGGTTGTATATCTTAGCAACCGTGTTTTGTCTATGATCTGAAGACATAAAACAACACATGTCTTTTTGCTGTACTACCAATCTCTTTTAATGATTTAGACAGATACAGAAAACGAATTTGTGCCGTTGATGGAAAGCGTTCGCAGATAAAGTCACGTCTGGATTTGGTCATGCAATGAAAGTTCAGATCAAACTGTAGATTGCCGAGTAGTCCATCGAAACGATCGTTTAGTTGAAGGAATGAGTGGAGAATATCATAAGCGTGCAAATACTCGATGATTTCAAGAATCACTTCATTTGCAAGCGAGTGAAGTTTTGTCACATCTGAACAAATGTGCATTGCTAAGACTTCGGATCCTTGGTCTCATATGAAGAGAGGCTTTGAAGCATAAAGGAAGGAGAACAGCAAAGTGCATACTTACTCTCGAATATGAGTGGCGGTGTTCCCACACTATATCCGACTTTACTGTTGCACAAAAATGTCAAATTGAAGTCTCGTTGTATATTAACCGTCGCATAATGGATTGACCAATCCGAAATTTTTCGTTTTTGCTCGACTCAAATTCATTGGATGAAAGTTCTGGGTTTGAACCAAAATAAGATGAAATTTCATCTCCTGTTTTCAGTTTTTTCGCCTCTACTACATGTACAGAGATATTCACTGTCCAGTATAAAGGGCGTTGTTTTTGCGAATCCCAGGTCAATAAATCCTACTAGGATCCTACAAGATCGTACAGGCTCCTATGATATGTGGGAACGTTTTGTATTCTTATGATAGGATCCTATAAAATTTTACATGATCCTAGGATAGGAGATGATAGGATTCCTGTTCTAGGTGTGTATGGTATTTCTTATAGGATTCTATCGTAGGAATCCGACCTAATCCTATATGTATCTTTGTATCTTTGTGCTTTGCTCTTTCTTTAAGTATGTTTCTATAATAATAAAAGTAAAATTTATATTGTTGTTGAGAACTTCTCGTGAATTAAAAACCACCTAAATAATTAGAAGAGCTGAGATCTGTCTACTTTCCAGACAGCCACTTTTGGTGATCAAGTATAATTGAATTAACTAAATTTCCAAGTCTGTAAAAAAGATCATGATGGTTGTTTTAATTTGTGTGATAAAAATAAAAAGACTTTATAGAAAAACCGATAAAATTATATCAACATTCGGCTTATCACACAAATTAAAACAACCATCATTGTCAACGTCCGTTTAACCAAATGGTTTCAGACATTCTCAATTAGTTTTGAAATTAACCGAAAGTTAAAGCTCGAGAAAATAATCGATCCGAGCTAAAAGTGAAATGCAACTACTTTTTCTTTTTTACGGACTTGGAAATTTAGTTAATTCAATTATACTTGATCACGAAAAGTGGCTGTCTGGAAAGTAGGCAGATCTCAGCTCTTCTAATTATTTAGGTGGCTTTTAACTCACGAGAAGTTCTCAACAACAATATAAGTTTTACTTTTATTATTACAAAAACATACTTAAAAAAAGAGCAAAGCACAAAGATACATACAAAAAAATGCTACAAATCGACAATATTGACCATTTCGCCATCTCCTAATCAAAAATTGTGTTCCTGTATAATATTACTCTAAATGGAACACAAAATTCAAATAATTTGAAAAAAGGAAATCAAAAGACGCTCCCGCGTTTGCCCGCCACACATTTTATAGCAGATATTTTTATAGCAGCAGAAATTTCTGCTAAAACCGTCAGTTTTCGTTCAATTTTTTTGAACGACATTTCATTCGAAAGAGCACACAAAACTGAACGAAATTTGTAATTTAATATTTTAAAGTTAAAATAGTAGTCGTAAAAAAACATTTACTAAAATTTTGAGGTTTTGAAAAACTGAGGTCTTAGTGAAAAAACCTGAATATTTGAAGGAACCAAATGAAAATCCATAATAAAGTTTTGGTATTTTAATAGAGTAAACGATTCTGCACCTGACACATTGTTTAAAAACGACAAAATCGATGCAACTCGGGATCAAAATGGTCTCACCATAGGCAGAGCTGCAAATGACCGAAACACAGAAAATGCTGTAAACAATTTTTTTCGTCGTCAAACTATTTCCAATCGATTTTTCAGTCAAATTAAGTATAGAAAACCCTTTTTCTTCTTCAATACGTTTTTTTCTATGGGAAAATAAAATTTTTCCCCAAAGCTTGCGGAAAAGTTGAAAAAATTGCTATTTTTTAGTTTTTTTGAATAAAATCGACAATTTTCATTCACATTTTTTGATCAACATCTCATTCGAATGAGTAGAAAAATCTGAACTATATCTCATATTCAGAAAAATTTTAGATTCAAAATAGTAGTCGGAATGATGGATTTTCGTAAAATACTATTACTGTTAGGGTGCTTCTACACAGCACCGGCCACTTTATACTTTTTGAAAATCTGCCGAGAAATAACATAGTAGGTCTTGTAGAGCTTGCCGAGTTGTGTATATCTATGATATTTGTTTTTAAAAACGTCGTGTGGAACATGGTTTTTGGAGACCATCAAAAGTCGAAAAATTGACGAATCTGCCCAAAATGAAGCTATTTCGCCATTTTCTCCATCAAAATTTATTGTTTTGACAGAAGCAAGATCATATTATATAATAATGAATGTCCAGTGTCGGAAACCGCTTGAAAAAACAGTTTTTGAAATATATTGTATGATGAATACATCTCAATGTCCAACGTACAAAATATTTCAAAACTGGTTTTTCAAGCGGCTTCTGGCAGTATTTCTCGAAAATATTCGCTCTTATGTCTGTGCCAAATGATATCAATAGTTCATCAGATAGGCTCCGCCGAGCTCTATCTAATGGTGTATCTCACAAGGATACATCTCAATGTCCATCGTACAATATATTTCAAAAACTAGTTTTTCAAGCGGTTTCCGACACTGTATCTAGGAAATATTCGCTCTCTAACCTCTGCCAAATGAGATCAAGAGTCAGTCTATCAGACAGATCTCGTCGAGCTCTATCCAATGGTGTATCTCATAAGGATATATCTCAATGTCCATCGTACAAAATATTTCAAAAATTGCTTTTTCAAGCGGTTGCTGTCGGTACAAAAATAACACGTTTTTTTACTGATTATTCCTCAATTCAAGGCAATCCAAAGGTGTTTTTCTAGACTCGGACTGGACTGTACTAGAAAAAAACCCTTTGAATTCCTTTGAATTGAGAGATAATCAGCAAAAAAACATGTTATTTTCGTATTGTGTACAGTGGGTGTAAGAAATATTCAGACACTGTAAGAAGTTTTCCTTGCGAGCTTATTATTTCTTAATATAAAAGAGATAAGAAAATTATTTGTTTACTGTTAGATGGAGCAAAGTCTGCTCTACATTTCTGTCCACTTCAAAAAATGTTAACAATCTTAGATGAGTCTATAATAAGTCTTCTTTTACACTTAGTCGACCTCTGGAACGAAAAGGTATTCGGACACTTTCTTTTCTCTATGATTATTGACATTTGTCACGACATTCTCGTCAAGTAGCGATGGATCTTTCAAATATTCCATTCAAAAGAGCGAAGTCTCAGGTTTCTAATGAAAAAAAATTGTTAAAAAAAGTGCTCTTTAAAGGTCACAAATTGAAAATTACAGATACCATCATGAAGTTCATTTAAAACGCGCTGTGTGACCGTTAAACTTGATCAAAACCCAATTCTAAATATACCGTTAGAAAGAGTGTGAAAAACTGCATCAGAAACAATTATTAAATGAAAAAATAGACTATTAAGATTTACTATAGACCAAAGATTTTTTTCCAGTACAGTTCAGCTCGGGTGTAAAAAAAAACCTTTGGATTGCCTTGCATCGAGGAATCATCAGTAAAAAAACATGTTGTTTTTGTATTGTGGACCGGACTTGGGCACCTTTTTTTAGAATCCATGAGCTGAAAAAAACTGTTTTTCATGGACTCGGACTGTACTTATAATTTTGAGTCCATACGAAGCTCTGGTATAAACATCTGTAAAATAATTATTCAGCAATTGATCCTTATGGGATGGATCACACACGAGTTCATTTTTTTGTTTTATCCGATAGCGGAAATTGACACATACTTCCAAAAAGTCAGGAAAAATTTTGAAATAAAATGGTACAAAAAACATTCCATGGGAAAATAATATTAGTTTAAAAATTTTTCCTAACTTTTTGGAAGTAAACCTCGCCAAAAATAGATAATCTTCGGGGTTCTCAAGTGTGCTGAATACGAAAAAGCACTTTTCAGCAACTCAAAACCAACTTTATTGTTTTCGTTCCGGTGATATGCTTGCTTCTTCTCTGTACACACTACTTTTAATCATACGCCATCAGCGCTTTTCCGGGTCAAAAACAACTGACATTTAATAGCACATGAACAGCCTGTTACCTAAGAGGCTAACAATGGGGTTTTAACAGGCACTTAATTGTGAAGAAACGGTCAGTTAAACAAGCATCATTTATTGTCTATCATCCGACCGTTAATGATGAATGAAATGAAATGGACTGATTTGTCTACTGCGATCATAAATATAATTTATTGTAGAAAAAACTTTTATTATAAGAAAACTCGAGTCACTAATTGATAAATTCTAACTCAATCGATTTTTGATTTCCAATTCCTGTAAAACATAAATTCCAATCTGTACGTAAATTTGCTTTATGAAATCTCGAGTGAAACTCAATATTTAGGCAAATGGTACGAGATTGTAATCCAGTCATCGTATAACGATAGGGCGGTGCATCTAAAACATGTTCTTGTGTAGCAGGATCACTAATGATAATTTCTTTGATATATGTACCAATATCCATATCATTCTCATCATCGGCAAAACGAATAAACAACGTCCAACGATGGGCACCAATTTCATAACCAGTATTAATTGTTGCATGATAATTTCCAATTAACAATCTTTTAATTACACTTATTTTATCTTTGTTATCTAGAACATCTTGTTTTATTTCTGCTATTCGTTCCAAATATTGATTTTCATAACGTGTTTCTAACAAATTTCGTAAAATAAAATTTATTGTTATTCGAGAATTTTTTAAGTAAGATAAGTTTTCTCGACACAAAGGACAGGTTTTTTCCAAGTTTGATGATGCTAATAAATGTTTTAAACATGATAAGCAGTAATTGTGACCGCATATTGTTGTTATGGGTTCAACTAATAATTTCAAACATATTGGACATTGGCAAAGTTCATCAAATATTTTGTATACCTTTTCTAATTTTGTGTTTCGATCATCAGTACTATTATCTAGTACATTATCTTGATTGTCTGTAGAAGCCATATTAGTTAATAATTTGTTATCTTGCGAAAAGGAATGTACACCAGTTCAACTGTTAGCGTATAAAGTAGTTGTTTCTAAAAGTAGTGATGTATAAATGCTTGTTAGGTTGTGTAAGAAATATTTATGTATTTGAAAAGTTAGTATTTTTCTGTGTCAGCAGAGCTTCCGTTGCAGTAGCAACGCATGTGTTTATTACTCATACTTTTTCAATTCTTATCAATTACATGACTTAAATAAGCACATGAGAAATAAGCCGAAAGTTCATGATGTATTCAGAATTTCCACATATAAGTCACCTACCATCTTCTGATTTGAAATTAATCTATGTAAAAGCCTTTTGATTTAGAAGAGTTTTATTTACGTTGACGTATATCAACGACAATTAGATGAATCATAACGAATTTTAACAATTTTCGCTTCATTTTTGAAAAAAACGTTTATATTGCAGAATTGATAGCAATAGCAACTCTGCATCAAATATAGCTTATCAACTTTCACGAGTTGTACGTTTTTGTTCAAATTATAACATCTATCCTCTTGAGTCTAACTTTTAACTATTGGCCATTCTACTCACACTAATTAATGCTCTGTATTAGTAATATTTAATCTGTGGGAATAGACACTAGTAGAAACTCGTTTAATACAACACCTGGCAACCTAACACATCACCAGTACCTGCGTTTCAAAATACTAACTTAATAAGTAAGTAAATTAGTGTATGATGATTCTGGCAATGTTGCACTGGACAGATATTATGTATTCGTGAACAACTAAATATCATTGACGTCTGTCATGTTGTTGCCGTATAGAAAGGCTCTTCTAGTCTCTGACGTCCATCACTTGACCAGTACGGAGAGAGTTATAGAAATCTTGGGATGATTGAGTATTCACAAACTTTATGATAATCTCAAGTGAACTTTACATGGTAAAATAACTAGACGAGAAGCGCCTACGTATTTGACTCCTTTTGTTCAACGTACATAGAGTCAGTCGATTTTGTATAATCTGCATACATGTGTAACTTTCAAAAACATCACACTTGACTTACTTCCCATTTACTCTCTAAAAATGGTCAGCGCTGTCTCAGAATTTTTATAAACAATGTCATCACAACAAATTCTTATCCAATCTGGACGCTCATTTTCGTATATACAACATCCCGAAAAACATCGACGTATTTGTTATGCAGTAGATTTCGCGCTAATTTCTGTGCTCTAAAAGCGCATTTGTTTAAAAAGCTAGTTAGTTAATGATCCCAGTACCCAGAGGACGTACGGTGAAGATCACAAAAATAGGGTTTTGATAAACGAAAAACAAAACCAAAAAACAAACAAACCAAAAGCAGAACTTTTGAGTACACCAAGACGGTATAAAAGTGTTCAATTCGGTGGTTGATGAAAGTTCGTTTGTCGTAGGTCACACAGCACTAAAAATCAGGTTCAGATTAACATCTCCGAGCCACTAGAGCTGGATTAAAGTGACACTAGTTATAATCATGAAGTATCATAGACCAGCTTTTTCGTCAATTCCATAGTTGTCGTATGATACGTTCCACCTTAAAAAGCATTATCCTTGTACCACTTCTTCTCGCATAACCTAACATGATCGGTGATGTCCTGAGGTTTGAATGACCTTGCGCATACTGGACAATCGTACGTACCACTGGCATTTTTGTTCAACAACTCAGTGATTTTCTGTTTTTGAATTATGACACCTTGTTCGTTTTTGCATGTTCGTTCACATTTAGGACATACACTTGGTACTGGGAATGACAATCGATTGAGCAGCTGACGTGTCAAGTATTCCTGAACATTTCCTCTCTTCTGTTCGCCTTTTCTCCGCTTTTTCTTTGTACTGCTCGATGATCTTATTCAAATGTTGGTCAATGAGTTTTTGATGGGTGTGCTTGTTGATTAACTGTCTCCATAAATCTTTGTTCTTTGCGCTTCTTCTCCAGTTGTGAATCCCTAATTTCTCCAGATCATCCAAGATCTTCTCATACCACCGTTTTTTCACTCCATACTAGGGGCGTTGAGTATTCTCAAAGTACGAGAACATCACCTTTTTGGGATCGTTTCATCATTCGTCTTGTATACATGTCCAAACTAACGCAACCTATTCCTCCTCATGATGTTTTCCACAGATGGTAGGCCAGTTAAATCCAGAATCAGATCATTTGACATTCTGTATCCTAATTTGATACTGATGATTGTTCTGAGGTAACGCATATAGAAAGTGTGAAGCTTTTGTTCGTCAGTCATTGTGAGCGCCCAAGTCTCACTTCCATATAGCACGACAGGACGCAAGCCCGAAATATCCTAATTTTGCTTCGACGGAAACAGTTTTTCTATACCACACCACATTCCGAAGCATGCTGAACGCTACTGAGGGCTTGGTGATTCTCGTCTTTATCTCTTCCTCTTGCGAACAGTCCCTTGCAAGTAGCCCATCCAGATATGTAAACTTTTCCACTTTCTTGATTCTATCATTTCGAATAACAAGATCGAAAGGGACACCATCAACCTCTTCGGCGGTTTTAATTCTAGTATCTAGTGTTTCCTTCAGTTGTTTAATGGGCATGATAACAGTTTTCTTGATACGCATGGTCAAGCCAAATTTCTGTGATCAAAAAAGGTCAAGAATCACCAAGCCCTCAGTAGCGTTCAGCATGCTTCGGAATGTGGTGTGGTATAGAAAAACTGTTTCCGTCGAAGCAAAATTAGGATATTTCGGGCTTGCGTCTTGTCGTGCTATATGGAAGTGAGACTTGGGCGCTCACAATGACTGACGAACAAAAGCTTCACTCTTACTATATGCGTTACCTCAGAACAATCATCAGTATCATCAGTAGTAAATTTTGTATCAAAAAAGGTTTATTACGAAACTTAAAAGGGTACAGAGAAGTGCAACCATTTCTAAACCCTTTTAGGTTTCGTAGAAGACATGACACAGTACGAAACCGTTTAAGTGTATAAATTCTAGCAGTTCTTTTCTAAAAAAAATTTTTTCTGAGTAAGTGGACCATTTCAGCTGCTTAGGCGTGTTTTCATTTTATAGGGCGGTGAAAACTGAGCCCAAAAAATACCTGAAACTTCTGTAATTTTTGATCTTTCGAGAAAAAATCATAAGGAAAAAACATAACGAAATAAGCAAATGCACTGATCAATCGTTTCAACGCATTTAAAACGGTTTCGTACTACATCTTGTCTTCTACGAAACCTAAAAGGGTTTAGAAATGGCTGCACTTTTCTATATCCTTTTAAGCTTCGTAATAAACCTTTTTTTTTAGAGAATAGTTACACGAGCCGTACAATTGCCTCCGTCAGACCATAACTTGACATATTCGCCATAAGGCGTCACGATTGACCGAATTATACGTTTTTTGAAGGTCAATAAAACACGTATAAAGTGGACTGTTGAACTCTCGCGATTTTTCCATAACTATCTTCAGTGTGCACATTTGATCTGTTGGTATGAAAGCCAGCTTGTTGTTGGAGTAGCTGTTTTCGTTTAAAAAGACGTTCTCAGCCGCAAACTTGTACAAACGCGGGGAGATAAAAACTGCTGAACATTAATTACATTCTGGAGTGTGTATTATACCGTGTTTAAAGAAAAATACCAATGTATTATTTCCTTGTAGTCTCCTGTTATGTGCGGTTCAAGATTAGTCCCATCATATTGATGATTATTCTCATGAAATGTTGGTACCAGTCAAGAAGTACATAAGAAACAGGAAAAAAAGTTCTAATGAATTATCTTCAGTCATCTGTAATCGCACTCTTCCGAACCTATCAATTTCTGTTCTTTATTAGGGTACTGATCGAGATAATCGAGAAATGTTTTCAAATACATCAATCAAAAGATAATGTAATGCTATTGCTGCTAAATTACTAGAGATCCTTTCGAAAAACCATACGGTTTTACAAGTTCTTTTCTTGTAGATCTTTTGTAAATAGGATATAAAATAGGCTGAATACTATACATCGTGAAGTTTTAGGCTAGTCCTAGTGTTTTTCGATTGAATTATGAATTTTTTAATATTAGATGAAAATAGCCTGAAAACTCTAGTTTTCGTAAAACTTGATTTTCGAAAAGTTTTTTTAAATGTTTCTCTAATAATAAATATTGTTACGAGACCTAGCGTGGTGGGTTATCTATAACCGACTCTTTTTCGAAATTGCTAGTAGTCTCCAAGTGACGATTCTGCGACCCCAAGGAAATCTGATATCATCCTCGAACAGCTGAAAATCAAGGTTTCGCTTGACCCTCCTGAGAACACTTTGAACTGCCAGTCCATGTGATAAAATCAATATAATCACCTAGGAAGTTTTTGAGACACGATGTGATTTTCTGAAAAAGATCAACTAGAAAACCTGTTTTAAGAAAAAATCTCTGCTTATGGAAACATATTCTCAAGCCTCTTCTTTGAATGGCGACAACCGCAGCGCGCTAGTCCTTTTCCGTCAAAAGTTATTCAGAAACCAAGCATATACCATTCTTAAACGGTTAATACTATTCAATTGATTTCGTATCTGTTGTAATGCAGCACATATTTTCGTCTTCATGCACATTGCCTGCTAAACGGTAAAAATGGCAATTACTGCATCGATAAATAAATTAAAACCTTAGGTTATTAATTTAGTTACTACGCTTTGATTCAGCAGTAGTACAAGAGCAGACGGAAAAAATGTACCTATCTTGTTCGACTGGCAAGGCACTTTCATTCAGTGAATCTTTTTCTATCAAATATCATAAGCGTAGTAAACAAGCACATTTTTTCCATCGGTGTATTCATGCATGAGTAATATAACAACCTAAATAAAACATGTTGGCAAATTTCTTTACAGAATCTAATAAAATTTTTTCAAAAGAAATCTGATAATTCTGTAGAATTTCTTTACAAATATTACTTACAATCTGAAATGATATGTTCCAGAACTGTAATAGATATAGGCAGATATTCTTTGAAAAGTATTCATTTTAGCACACGAAGATTTTTAAGTATATGGATATCAAAACAAAAAAATTAGACAAATTTTTGAATACCAAAAACATTTCTTTAGAAATCATGGTTAGTTTTAAAAGTATTTAAGATTACTTTTTATTAAAAATATCGTCATATATGCTGTATCAACCATTGTGATACTCTTTGTATTCCTTTTTACAACTCGATCTTACAAATGTCAAGAAGTTGTCTATGCTTTGGTAAAAATACTGTGTGTTTATGTAATGTAATTATGTAAATATATGAAAAACAAAACAATAGTAATAAAGTGTGTGATCGTACTCATGTGAAACTTATCAATTTCTCGAACATTCACTACAGTTAGTTAATCAGGAGTACGTAAGCTCATTAAATACTTATTGATTTGTGACAATTGAACACATTTTCTTAGAACTTCTTCCGGCAGTCTGGCAGACCTTTTGAGTTTGTAAGTACGTAATGAATAAGTAGGTCAGGCTAATTGTCAGAAATAAAAAGTTCTACTGAAATATTTTTCTTGATCGTTGACACTCCTATTCACGATTAGATCTCCTACAAATTAATTATATTTTGTCATTTTCCTCGACAGTGTGCTATTTAGATATGATTCTGATATAGACCAAAAAATGATAGAAAAAACTTTATGTACAATCGACGATTACTACTATTTCTTCTACTATCGACGGTAACACACGTTTTAACGTCAAAAAGCCAGTTCTATACAAAACATTCAGTACGTATCACACTTTTCAAGGTAATGAATATGTTCACACCTTGATGATGAATGTTATGAAAAGTGTCCGCAACCTTGATTCGACAAATTTACCTGCATCCTTGAAAGTTGTAAATTGCGATTTAATTAGTTTGTTTGAGAAAAACATCGTTCTCTGTTAATTTTTTATTACCTTTTATAGTGGACTAGAAAGAAAATATGAAGTTGTCATTTAAATATTGATTGATCGATAGATTGCGTAAATGATTAGAGAAATGTAATGACATATAAACAAATGACAGAACAAACACGTGTCTTATTCTCTCTTTTTCGAAAGATTTACATTAGATGTGTCAATCAGACGATTATCGGACTCATTTTTAGATTTAAAAGTAAAAGTAATGCTCCATTAGTATAACAGTTCATATCTAAGAATAGAAACATAACACTCGCTCTTTTAAATCAGATCAGAACACAGTTGCGGATCTCGACAAATAGTGAAAACTAATTGAGTATGATCGTGTATAAAACTAACAGTAATAGAATAAGATCATTCAATAGAAAGCATCAATCGACCAGTATTCTAGTTAGCCTATAGCTATGCATGTACAATTTTTTTAGTCTAGGTATTGTTTTGATTAAACATTATCTTTCTTTTTGTGTTCTATTAGAAATTTTATTGTATTCTGCACATATGCATATTAAACATATGTCCTTGTTGTGCTAAACGTTCTTATTGTTCGATATGTGACAGATTTTAATATATACCGATAATTTGCTTACGCATCTTCAATTGCATGTGTAATTTGGTTTCCTTCTATACACTATAACAATTTGTTCGCGATATAAACATTCGATAAAGGTATTTTGATATAAAATGCTTGGTAAAAAGGACTATCACTCCTGTAACTCTATCCGTCTGAAGTTTTGAGCCATAGAATGTAGTAAATATGGAAAACTGTTGATTCTATGATAAGATTCATTTCATATTGTCTCTACGACATTTTCTTACATTGCGATGTAGTGTTGAATGTTACCTATCTAAAGTATAAAACTGACTTGCTGGTTTTTACTGTTTAACAAAAAACCTATGTTTTACGAACGATAGTTAATTTGTGTTCATTTCTAAATAGATATCTAGATCAAGAAACATTCTTTTGACTTAAGACTTTGGGAGAATAGTCTCTAATGCTTGCTACTCAAATTATTTAAGGCTAAGATAGAGAGTCATTTTTTAGGTTAGATGTGAGAGGACGATAATGAATAAATCAGTAAAAATATCGTGTGTGCATCATACTCATACAAAAACAGATTATCTCTATAATATATACTTATATTACTAAGCTTTTTTGTTGTTTTACCATCATTTTTTCGGAAAATGTTTCATTTCCAAAACACCAAAACATTATGGTTTTTTCTGGTGTTCTTATCCAGATTGATACAAATAGTCAGCAAGTTAGTAATCAATGATACGTGGGGAGGAAGCGGCCTACTTTAGAAGTTTTTATTGTTGTCGGGGTGTATGAATATGCCTCAAGATATTTGGAATAATCCTCTTTTTTCTCGTCGATAATCGATATTCATCGCGAACAGAAAATGTAATACTACCTTTATGGTACGTCTGTATGACAGCTACGAAAACCGTACATACAAAGAGAAACGTAACCTACAAACTTATCATAGGAGGAATATATAGAGAAAAAAATGTTAGGTATGTAAGCAACAATGAAAATACACCTTCATCGTTACTTTTACCCGTATCGCTTTCGATAGAATGAATGTAGGACTTATTATGATTAGTAATCACTATTTCTGTCCTTCTCTTCACTCTTCTTCGTTTGATGAACTTATTCTACTAGATTCGAGAGTTAGCCTCATTTTATCATTAATATTTGAAGAAACGACGTGCCCTTTACATGCGAGGTATGTCCGAGTTAAAGACTTCTCCGATTATTTAAGATACAGGTTGCTACCCAGATAACATAAGCGGTTAGTCATCGAAGAAAAGTATAGAGGTTAAGGATATGACTGTTCTGAACTCTTAATCAATTTAAAAATTTGATATTTTCGCATAATTTTAGATCAAAAGAGCACCATATCAAAGACAGATTAATAATGGTTTGATGTAATTTACTTTTTGTTTGAATTACAACTTTTATTGATAACTATGTATGTGGCAACAGCTGTTCCAACATCTGTCTCTTTTACACCTCAAATAATGACATTAGCTCAACCGAATCAATATACCGATATGGCTGCTCAACAACTCAAACAACAACAACAACAGCAGCAGCAGCAGCAGCAGCAACAACAACAACAACAACAACAACAGCAGCAAGCGGCTTTAAATCAAGCACATGCTGTAGTCTATTCTGCTATGGGTAATCCATCACCTACTATAATGATAAACACAAATCAACAACAACAACAAGCCAATTCTCAAACACAAAATGTTGGTTTATCATCGAATACTGTTCAAGGAGATCCAAATAATTATCCAATTCAACAAATTCTACTAGAAAATCTATACAATAATGTATTGATGAGAGACAAAAATTTATTATATGCAAATCGATTAGATAAAGCAAGAAAACGTCTATCGGATCCAGTAACAACAAATTATCATGTACCATTACAGCCATTATTAATAAATGATTATGTCTTAAACACAAATACACCAGGTATCGGTGTTGTTAGTGGAACAACGGGAGCAAATACTAGTGGTAGTCAAAATATACCGTTATCAGGTAGTAATCTACAACGTGTTCAAAGTGGTCATGCATTAAATCATCGACGATCAATGCGTTATACTAAACCATCACTACAACAAATGCAACAAGCACAATCTCAACAATCTCAAGTGCGACCAATTAATGAAGGACAAAAATTATTTGTAATGAGGCATGCTGAACGTGTGGATTCAACATTTGGAATCACATGGGTGGATAATGTTTTTGATAAAAACGGTCAATATAAACGATTGAACTTGAATTTACCGAAAAAAATGATTCAACGTCGTGATAATAAAGATTTTTTATTTGATCCACCGTTGACCGAATTAGGTCTAATTGAATGTAAAATGGTTGGTGAAGAATTATTAAGTCAAGGTGTTAAAATATCTCATGTCTACGCGTCGCCAGCATTGCGGTGTGTTCAAACAGCTGATAAAATACTGGAAGGACTCAATATGAAAGATGAAATACCAATTCGAATTGAACCGTGCCTATTCGAATTTTTAAAATGGTATCCGGTTGTACCTTTAAAATGGCCGTTTCTCGCTATTGAGGAATTAATAAAAAATGGCTATCATGTTGATAACTATTATAAACCATTTTATCCAATTGAATCATTAAGAAAAGATGAAGATGAACAAATGTATTACACAAGAAGTCATTTTATCACCACATCAATACTAAAAAATCATGAACTTGATGGTGGAAACATATTAATTGTTGGACATGTAAGTACATAAGAGTACAACACATATCTAATTACTTCTTTTTTTTTAAATTTTTTCAGGCTCCTACTTTAGAAGTTTGTACTCGTCAATTAACAGGTGGCCAACCTCGTATAAATGATTTAAAATTTCTTGTATTACGTATACCGTTTTTATCAATGTTAACTATTTCGAAACAAGCTGATGGAACATGGCGCGTAATTAAGCCGCCAATTCCTCCAATGAAACATCAAGCAGTAGAATCATTTGATTGGCGTTTTATTCGATAATATGTAACCAACATTTGGTATCGCTCAAAAAAAAATGACAAGTATCTTTTATTTTTTATACAGAGAAGCTATTTTTTTGATAATGTTCTTTCAAGTATTATATTTAAGTATAAAAAAATAAGCAAGATAACAATAACACGCGGAAGATGCTAAAGTAGCATCTTAAAAGGAAATACATTCTACTTTGACTTTTCTGACTAGAAGATGTTTGAAATTGCGTAAGGAAAGTATTTATTTCTCTTCTCGCTATACTTCCTTCATAATGTAGTGAAAAAGTGATAAAAGTCTGCCATACATTACTGACGTACATATATTACTAAAAAATCACAACAAATATATTTTATAACAATCACAGATTCACAAATAGAAATTAATCATAACAAGATTATAAATGCCATCGTACGATCACAAATATTTTGAGTACTATCCATTTCAAAATACAATACGATTCTAAGTTGCTTTTCAAATTACTTCTTAACGAAAAGAGAAAGTGATCGACTTGTGATTTGGGGTGTAGTCTCTGGAAAACTCTTTCCTCGATCGTTTAGTAAAGAAAGAAAACTGTGAAATCTTTTTCGAAAAGGTCTCTAGGAAATCTGTTTGCACTTTCAAAAGATTCTGTTGTCACGATTCAAGCAAAACATCCTTTTACTAAGTTCTAAAGTACCTGTTGCGTTTTTGCAGCCTTTTGGATGGATTCTGGGTGAGTTATGCAATTTGAAGAATCCTATGATAACAGAAGAAAATCTACAATTTTTGTAAATTCGGCTTCCTGTAAGTCTTTTCTAAGAATAAAATCTGCACACCGGTGAGCATAGTTGATGACTTATGTTTCAGTTGTTTTCGGAATTCGCACAGGCCATCTCATGCTACTCTTGAGACTTTCAGAAAATACAATGTCATAACAAAACCTTAAGCATTGATGAAGTTGGACAGCTTCGATTTTGAAGAACGCACTCTGAACTATTTATTCACATAAAGAAACGAATACATTGCTAGTTTTGAAAATGCAAACGGATTTTCAAAAGTTCTATTTGAAAAACTTTCATAGTTTTCTTTCTTTATTAAACGATTGAGGAAAGGATTTTCTAGAGACGACAGTACAAATCGCAAGCCTATCTCTTTATCTTTTCGGCAGAAATTTATTTGAAAAGCAACCGAGAATCGTATTGTATTTTGAAATGGATAGTGCAACAGTTCATCACACTGTTATGTATTACTTTTGAGATCTAGAGAGAAATAACAGTATATTTATGATGCTTCAAACTCATGTGAGTTCTGTCAAATTTACCGACAGTTACTATTGATGGTTTAAACGAAGGTGGCGGATCTTTCGACATCTTGACTCTACTCATAGCGTCCATCATCCATTTCATACAAGTATTCATCTAGTAGAAATTCCAAATAAGTATCGTTAGATAGATTATGAATAACACGTACTTCTTCATCATATCTTCGTAAATCATTAAGAACTTTTCTAATCGAAATTATTTCTTCATTTAATAGTTTAACATCTAATACCGATATTTGAATATCACTAACATCTTCTTGATGACTAAATAATAGATAAGTCATCATCAGGTGAGAGATCAGTTTTTGATTGTCAAATAGGAAAGTTAAGATAAATAATAGCAAGAACTGGTTATCCTAAATATACCTTGTATTTAATGGTGTTGTGGTGGCGACTGTTGCTGATCGTGAAGTAAGCATCGATCTTGCATATAGATTTGTTGCATAATGCTCAAAATCAGACCAATCCTTTTCAACACTTTTATTAGTAGCAATCATTTCTAGAGAGAGAAAAATTAGTTTTATTACTAAGAAATATTTATGGAAGAACTTACTGAATATTTTTGCTTCTACTTTTTGTTCAGGTGATCGTCGTATATTCGTTGGTAAATGTCTCCAAATATATTTGAATAGTTCGAAGATATGTGTAATAAAAATTAATGGTGGAAATAGTGGTGGTCGATCAAAATATTCACGAATCAATGCATATCGTTCATACCGCCATACCAAATCTGTATGAGCTTGAACTTGTTGAAATGTAAAACTTAAAAAGAAAGACATCACATATTACACATTGATTATAATAATTTATCTAATATCATTGTGCTGTTCATACTCATATGATCAATACCTAAACTTAGCAATCAATAGATTAATCAATAAAATATTGACAAATAACATGTGAAATGCCAGTAGAACATGAGTAGCAATTGCTGTTGAGCTGTTCGGAGCTTTTGAAAAATAAAAATAAATATCTATGTATAATCAATTTTGATGATTAAATCAAATATTATTGCCTACTTTCATCAAGGTTTGATGTTTCGTCACTAAAACTTCCATACATAAAATAATAGACAGGATAAATAATATTTTGAAATAATGCTCGACCATTAAAATCAAATGTTTTATAAAAACGCATTGCTCGAGATACTATACCATACGATGACATGGCAATCAAAACTATATATATAAAGAAAAATAGATCAATTATCTAAAACAGACAATATAAATATATAGTATAATCGATTATTGTTGAATAAACGTGCACTCACCATTTTTCTAATCATGACCAGTTTTGGTCCTAATTGTTGAGACACACCAATAAATGCTAGTGAACGTATGAACCAAAGTTCCAAATCATAAGCAAGTGTTATTCTATAAATAGAACAGTAAGAATTAGTCTCAATAATCACTTGATTCATCGTTATATAAAATTAAATATTTTAAAACTTTACTGAATATTCTATTTTTTTAAAAAATCTCAAAAACAAAATTCATTTTTTCAATTCGATTACCTGGCAGCTGAGAATGAATTTTGATCATGAACATTTTTAAATCTCAATATTAATCCAACATAAAATAAACTATAGGCAACGAAATTAATTATATTAAAAACTCGACTAGCCAAAAAATAATCATTTATTTTTCCGCTAAAAGATCGATTATCTTGACAAAAAAACTAAAATAAAAATATATTTTTTTTATATATTAAAGACAATGTCAGTAGTCATTTAATTTTGATTTAAACCTGTCGGATGTCTTCAATTAACATTGTTGTAATATAAATAATGACAATAACTTCTGTCCAATGAATATTTGAAACATCATCACTTAATGGATCAAATGCAAATAACATATAATAACTGAAGAATAATAAAAATACAATGTAGGACGCCTGAAATAAATCAAAATAAATACTTAAAATGAAGATTATCATTGCTATATTTATGTTATAATATTTCATATAGTGTAGTTTAAATAGTCATTATAATAGTTAACTTACACTATTATATGAAAATTTGATTAATGGTGCTTCATGAAAATGTTTCAAATGACGAAAATAGCTCAACAAGAAAGTTGGCCACAATTTTGATGTCCACATATAACCATCAGAATAATTAATACAATTTTTATTTAACCTAAAACATTTAGAATATTCTAATTGATAACTTTTATTTGCAAACAAGCTTACCTTCTTACTAATGCACATCGGTCTTGACTCGATAGATACTAGAGTAAAACTAATATTAGATACACTCATCATCTTTATTTTCCCTTCTACATACTTCTGATTGTTCATTTTCATTAATTATCAATTCATTTTTTATTGTTTGATTTTTTACCATTCTTTCTACTCGAAAATTGACAATAAAATGAGCAAATAGTCCAAATGTGAGAATATTAAATAAGACTGATAATTTCTTTTTCATTTGTGTTTGAATTGGATTGATTTTATCATACCAAATATTTGTTAATAATTGATCACAACATGGTTGACCAACAAATTCTTTATTATCAGCATCAACAGCAATCTATTTAAGAAAAAATAGTAATATAAAAACGATGAATTATTTTTAACTGAAATCTTTTACCTGTATACAAGATACTCCTCCAAATAATTTAATTCGTCTGATGGCAATTTCACATGCTTTTTCTTCGTCATAATTATAACAACATTTTAAACATTCACAAGCATAACTTTCAAAATTATCAGCTAGTTGTTTTACTGTTTCTTTTGAATCATTATCAGCTGCATAAATCGAATAAAATGTTTTGAATACTTTTGATGCAATTAAAGATGCGCATATGCGATTTTGCATGTGTGATACTATTACTTTAGCTATTTCTACTCGATTGGTTAATATTGCCCATAGAAATAAATCTCGGTAAACATATTCTAATATTTCCGTCGTATTTTGACTATTCTCAAGCACATCTTTATCATTATCTAATGGATACTCATCGTCATAGGGTAAATCTAACAATTGTATTTGACTATCACAATGAATTTTCGATTTATAGAAACAAAATGATTTTAAACGATTGACTAAAGTTAATGTATTCGAGTTTGTATAAATTGGTTTCATATAATCACCAATTAATATTCTTAATATTTTATCGAGATCTTCTGGTGAATTAATTGGGGAGCGAACTTTTGCGAGTAAATGAAGTCGTTCCTGCTGTAAAAAAGAATGATAATATGGCAATTAGTATATATTGATTACAAAAAGTGCAAATTTTCAGTGATGTTACATTTTCTCAGTATTCAAGTTTTCTTGTTAATTTAAGAAGCGTGAGCAATTTTTTTATATCATAACTGGAGCAAATTCATGTGATAATAAAAACTATAGAATATATTTTTAGTGTACAGATCTAGTGCTTTAATTAAATAATATTGTAATGAGTTAATTCTCAAGCAAAATAAATTCAAACAATTTTATTTAATAATAAGCGACGGGAAAAATAAAACAGTAAAAATCAGAAGATAAAGAATAAAGAGTAAAAGGATCATACAATATATATATACCTTTGTTCAATTCACTGTAGAACTGTAAAAATACAAGAACAAAAACAGTTCATATTATCCTAATAGAGGCTTCTAATTGCAGTAGTTTATACACTGATTTCACTGCAGCTCATTGTCAAGAAAACTCTCGAAGCTTCAAGTTTGTAACGGAGTTAAAGTTGATATGTTTTAATTTGAAATATCAGTGATGGCAAGACTTTCATCATATAGCTCTCTCTCATCAGAGCTAGCGCATACAAATGACTGTGAAAGTTGTTTGAAGTGGAAATATTTTGATGATTTTTAGTATGAACCGCAGATCCTCAAGTTGAGTATGTAGTTGAGATACTTAAACTTTATGAATCCGAAAACCAGGATTCCAAACTTTACAATGAAAAAATTACTTGAATATGGCGTCTTTTACAAGGCTTGTCACGACAATGAGATCATGCTTTAGTTCTTGTACAGTAGAATCCACAAATTCAGTATAGTTTCAACTCGTGGTTTATTCTATGCAGAATAAAAGATATAAACAGCGTGATTACAGATATTAGCCACACCCAAACGCGAGCCTGCTAAGTAACTAAAGTTTTTTTATTGAGTAACGCATTTTTTGACTAAAAGCTTTTTCTGAGTAACTGAGTTACTCAGAAGCTAGAGAAAATCACTTACTCAGGTGCATAAAAGGCAGTTTCTCAGCTTAAATTTCTTCAAAAATTTCTGAGTAAGTCAAAATTTTTTGAGTAACTGTATCCAAATGAGGGGGGTTGCCACTCCCTATCACCCCCTAATCGATAATGCTGGACAATATCATCAGCTAACATCCCCAAACATAATTATACCGATAGCAGAACTTTATTTCATGTTTTAATATATTTCAGTCTTTGAACTTTTCCGCTACTAGGATTCATGTAAAGAACTGGAAAAAAAATGCAACTAGTAGACAATTTAATAGTCGCGATATAGAAAAGAATAATATTACACTAATGTCAATTGACGACGTGTTATCCATTACTTTGCTGATAAAAGAAACGTTTTGAAAAACATCCTTTCCTACGGTAATTCATTCATTATAATGACACGATTGAGGATGATGAATTTATAATGGACTCGGATGACTTTACTAATGATATTAATGATGAAATGAATTTTATAGATGTGCCTTTGCATTAACAAATACGAGAAGATTCTAACCTAAAATGGGTGACTTATGCATCAGCTCCTCACATGTTATGTGATAACCTACAAACGCCCTAGTTTCCTGAAATATTTGACAGTTGAAAAAATTATAGTAGAACAACTATTAGGGATAGTTAACCTTGACTGCATTAATATCCTCTGTTGCGAAATATTTGTCTTCTTGGAGAAATGCTTTTTTCAAATAGCCGACGCAAACTGCGCCTGAGCAACACTAACACCCCATCTAAATTACACTAAGTCTGCGTGGTTTGTTTATATCTCTCTTGACAAATCTGAAATATAATTAAAAATCTATTTAGTGCTAGAAACTCTCCTTATTCCCTGTTATTTCATATAGGTAAACATTTATCACCAAATCAAAAGATGGCGAAAACACTTCTCACAGTTTTTAGCTGAGTCCAAATATTCAAAAATTCTTGTACATTACATCCAGTGTTTTTTGAAACATTCTGAGAATCTACAAAGCAATCTATATAATAATGAGTTACCCACTGAAGATCTGCTGTTTTCATTAAGATTCATCAAATTGTTTGCACTTTAACTGTTTCCGATTCAATCCAGAAATCTGAAACCGTCTTTGAACAACTTTCGTCCCCATACACTTGCAATGGTTCATAAAACAACAGGATTTTGTTTATTGTGCATTAAAGAAAGATAAAACCAATTGTACTAATCCTATAATCATTTTTATTTTGCATAGAAACTTTTCATTTATTAATTTATCTTCTTCATCTACAAACTTAGCCAAGACATGCGTATATATATATATTTTTTTTCTTCACTATTCTGTTCTAGTCTGATTATGAACACTGTAGAATTAGTACAATTGGTTTTATCTTTGGCCAATATTATCACCACAAACATTTTGGCTTTAGATTGTTTGAATGATTTAAACGTAAATAAACTCGTGTGTAAAATATACAAACCTTTCTCTTATCATTATCACTATATAATTCTCTTAATCGATTCCATTTTAATTTCCATTGTTTGTTTGAACTCTGATCATCATATTGATAGAATATCGTTGGTAAGTCAAAATTTAACTTAATAAATGTATTAACAAATGTTGGACGATCTAATTCCAATGCTTTTAAAAATAAATTCTCTTTTTCTTCACTCTAAACAAAGTAAATATATTAAAATGAAAATACAAACTACTAGAATATGTTTACTGTAAACTGATCAACATTATTTTTAATAATATGTTCTTTGGCAACTTCAATACAGTCCCATGCCAATGCCAATTGTAACAACTGTTCACGATTTACTTTTTCATGTGTTTCGAGACTCTTCTTTTGACGAGCTAAAAGTTATGAAAGAAAAAACTTGTCTAAATCTATAGTGAATAAAAGTATATAACTTACCTTCGATAATTGCTTCAAATATAGTTTCATCTAAATCATGATCACTATCGAGACTAAATGATTTGATGTTTGCTCTTAATGATGGTTGAAGCGTATATAAAAACAAGTAGAACATATCATCCATTTCTTTTTCACTTTTTTTAGAACCCTTTGTTATTTCAACTAAACCAGCACGAATCTCCTCTTCATAATTATGAAATATTTGAAGAAGCCTATAAAACATATAATCTTTATTAGACACATTCATAAATATTCAAATGTTAAAAAAACTTACTTCTGTTTTGAATCAATATCATTGATATCAAGTATTCCTTTCCATTCTTTTTCATCCATTTTTTCATCTATCAGACTTTTTGTACGAGTCAAAAATTTTGAGAGTAAATTTGGTAAACGACCACTTCCATCAATCAATACAACGGGAATTTCACATCGTAAATCGTTGTATATTGTATTTAAAGTATCTGGACCACCTGACAGGAAAATAAAATAAATTTTTATCTTAAATAAGATAAAGTGAATGTTGAAGTGGAATAACGATAAAACTTACCTTCCACAACGATGATTACAATAGGTACTACAGACAAAAAAAGTGAAAGGATGAAAGTCTATTTTGAAGTGATGAAATGTTACCATCTGATTGTTTATAATGTGAGATTGCTTTAACAAGTCTTGTTCGATAATCTCCAGTATCATATCCAAGTAACATTCCGTCATCAAGCAGTAAAAAATGTGTATGATTGTGTTCTAATTCTTGTTCACCTTTTCGTTTTTGATTCGATGTAGGTAACACAGATTTCTGCACTTTCTTATCAACATTATATTTCTAGAACAAAAAATTGTAGTTTGTTCAAGTCGTTCACTGAAACTTCTCTTTTAAGATAAAAGTAAGATGTATTATGTAAAAAGTAATATTTACATTTAATAACGTTTCTCTATTTCTCACAGATCCCCATTTGCTAACTCCCACCGCAATAATTTCACTTTTCGGATTTGTTAATTTATTTTCATAAATAGCATCGCCCACTAATTTAACCACACCAGTTTTAAAACCACTAGTAATTATCCATCCATCTACACAATGACGAAGATTTAATAGTCATTCTATAATTACAGAAAAATATGTTGTAAATACCTGCTATTAAGGCTGCTTGAATTATTCCTTTAATAAATTCTTTTTCAAGTCTCTCATTTAATTTGAAATATTTTGCTCCACCAATAATACACATAATCAATCTTGGCTCACGCATTTTCCAATCTTTAAACATTAACTCCACTAATGTCTCGGGTTTTGTGTCTACATCACAACGAATGTACTGAATGAAAAAGTTAACAAAAATGACTATAAATTGAATGAATAATTGTGACAAAGACCTACTGGAGCTCCGGTCTCTGGTATTCTTCCATATGCATTGGTTAATGCAATTTTTGTATGTGTTCCAGCATTCCATTCTGAATCTTGTTTATCACTACTACTACTCTCATTCTCAAATAAATCCCAACTATGCTCTCGTTTTAAACGATTGCAACAGCATTTAAGTTCTTTTTGAGATCTAAAAAAAAGAAGTAGAAGAAAGTAAAACAAATGCATGTAAAATGTTTTCTTACTGTTGACTCTTATCATGTCCTTTGTCAAGTTTTGGAATGAATGTTGTACATGTACGCCGTTTAATATTCAAGCGATTAATCGCTTGTGACCAATCTTCAAATTTACCATTATGACACTATACGCAGGAAACTAATTAACTACATAATGAATAATAATCAAAGATTCTTACCATTTCAACAGCATAGGTCTGCCTGATTGGCTCATTGATCATAAGAAAAATTCGAGCAAAGCTCTCTAAACAGTATTATTCGTATATGTCAACAGTGATTTATCTAATGGATGAGCTGGATCGGCGATGCCACACGAAAATAAACCGTGAAAGAGTCCCGTGGGAGTTCTGTCGGAAGTTTCGACTGGGATACATAAAACATTGTATGTCAACGTAGAAATCCGAATTCAAATCACTCTCAGATTAGATTGAATTAGAGATTCGAGTGTGAACTAGGCAAATGTCAGAAGGATCCCCCTTCGATATACTTTACATTACCTACACAGACGGCTATTAACCGATGCTTCAGAAAGTAAGAAAAATACATTAAGGTCTTTCTTCATTAATAATGAACCTCTTAATTCCAATGATTAACAACAATGCTTATCCAAGTCAACTTTCACGCTGAACTCGCAGCGAGATCCCGCTGTCGCATCTGTGGTTGCTATAGTTCCGTGCCTGTCGTTCAGCGATTATGAAAAAGTCGTACAGGAGCTCTGTGATCATTACTGCTCGGGCTGTTGTATCGTGATCACGCTAGAATGTTAGTTTTTTCAAAAAGTATTAGCTATGACTCAAAATAAGAGTTTTTCGCGGTGCACAGTCCAGGAGGCGCCCTAGAACTCCCGAAGTGAGCTGCTATATTCGAACTTGACAAAAGTCCTGAAACAGCTTCCCGAAATGTGAGAGAAATTGTAGTCTCTGTGGGATTCGCGGTCTACAACCCATTCATCCTTTTGTTTTGCAACTGAACTGTATAAAAGAACGAAAAAAACATCAGAATTTCCCTTCATCTTTTGTTCTGAAGTGCTGTAGCTCAGTCTGAGATTGGACTTCCGCAACTACCCTGAGCCGTGCCACAAAATAGCTCTTTTGCTCTAGAACATAAGAATTATGACTGGGCTAGTATCGCGGCACAATTCTAGGAGTTCTAAGAGTTCGTGTAGGATTCTACGGAGCCACGCCATGATGCCAAAAGTTCTGACAAAAACGCGTCTTATTTCTCGAGTGCGGGATGCAATCTTGGCACGACTTTTTGACGTGAGTCCCGCCTTGGCTTCTGCGTGAAAATTGACGTGGGTAAAATAACGCTCTGCTACAGTTCAGTCTTAGATTGGACTGAAAAATCAGGTTAATCTTGATTTCGGGTTCAAAGTTCAATGTTAGAATTTTAACGATTAGCCTGAACCCAAGTTGAATGCTGACTTAGAAAAAGCTAGGAAAGTAGGATGGAGAAGAAAACAGGAAAATATAGTCTCTATGTGCAAATAAATCATTATCAATTCAGATATTATATATCCCGTCCTCCTAAGTTTAAAAGTCAGCTTAATATTATGTCAATGTTGTTACAACAAAGTCTTAGAAAGTTCTAACATGTTTACTGTATCATTCAACAAGAAGCTGTCAAAATGTCAAAGACAGAAAAACACCATTTTTAGTTCTCTCTTTGCTTCTTCTTTTGTTCTGAAGGGCTGTAGCTCAGTCTGAGATTGGACTTCCGCAACTACCCTGAGCCGTGCCACGAAATAGCTCTTCTGCTCTAGAACATAAGAATTATGACTGGGCCACTATCATGGCACGATTCTAGCAGTTTGTGTAGGATTCCACGGAATTGTGCTATGATGCCGAAAGTTCGGACAAGAGCCGCCGCGACATGGCGACAAAAACGCATCTTATTTCTCGAGTGCGGGACGCAATCTTGACACGACTTTTGGACGTGAGTCCCGCCGTGGCTTCTGCGTGAAAATTGATATGCGTAAAATGACGGTCTGCTACAGTTCAGTCTTTGATTGGACTGAAAAATCAGGTTAATCTTGATTTCGGGTTCTAAGTTCAGTGGTAGAATTTTAACGATTAGCCTGAACCCAAGTTGAACGCTGACTTAGAAAAAGCTAGGAAAGTAGAGTGGAGAAGAAAACAGGAAAATATAGTCTCTATGTGCAAATAAATCATTATCAATTCAGATATTATATATCCCGTCCTCCTAAGTTTAAAAGTCAGCTTAATATTTATGTCAATGTTGTTACAACAAAGTCTTAGAAAGTTCTAACATGTTTACTGTATCATTCAACAAGAAGCTGTCAAAATAATAAATGTCAAAATGTTAAAGACAGAAAAACGCCATTTTTACTTCTCTTTTTGCTGTTGCATAGCAAACACAAAAAGAAAAGAAAATCTTAATATAGCGCTAGAGGCCGTAAATCGTACAGTGTAATATTAGAATCGTTTTTAATGATAGGTTGCGGAACTGTCCACGACTTTTCTCGACAAGTTATAACGTTTTGAAGTTTCCTACAAACGCTAATGCAATCATCTTTACGTTACGCGGAACGGCCACATACAAATTTTACCTCGAAAAAACTTCCATACATTTTAAACAGAAAATAGCAACCAACGTATATAATTGTGTGAAAGTTTATCTGACAAGTCTGATAATTTTTTATATATAAGTAAGCCGATGTGCTCTACAAACTGGCTGTGTTAAAACCTGTTCAGTTCGAATTTCTTATTAGAGCTTCGCACAACTGCTTGAGGCTCTCCCACCGTCAGTGGAAAAATAGAACGATAAGTATTTTTGATTCTTTCTTGCCAGAAACATTTTTCTGTTGGGTTCAATTCTCTATTATCTGACATATCTTTTTTGATTAAAAATAATATTTGAAAAATCCGCAGAAGTGTACTGTTGTTCATTTATATAAATACAACAAGTTTTTCTGGAAAGCCAACTGGATATCGGCGGAGCCAGAGTTACAAAATTTGTATTTGTCACATGATTGCTCAGTATACATCTTCACCTTTGATTGAGATCATTGAATACTGAAAATCAGCATAGAACCATCCCTCTTTAATCGTTTAAAGTAAATAATACCTTAAAAATCAAAATCGATTTGGAACTAAACTCTCTGCATAATTGAATACATAAAAAAATAGATATAAATATCACAATGGAAAAAGATAAATAACAAATCAGTCAGATCAAATGGAGAAAAAGATTAACGAAAGTAATAAATAGTGGACAAAACTTTTGATATTGCACAAAACAATAACATTGTAACATCTCTGAGATTCACAACAGTTCACGCGATTCTAGTCATTTTGTTCATTCTGATTCTCATATTCTCGATTCCATTTTTGTTCTTCACCGTTAAATAACAAACAATACACAATTGTTCCAAATAATCCGATTCCAGCTGATACATTAAATATCACCCGCCATGCAGCTAAAGTTTGCTGGAATAGAGTCAAAATATAAGTGTTGGAAGGAAAATAAGATGTTGTGCTTACATTGTTGTTTGTAACGGCTCCAACAAAATAAGGACCAACAAAACCAGGAATAGTTGCAAGTGTATTGGTCAATCCCACTAGTGTTCCTAGAAAATAACAATAAACGAACTATTTATCGATAGACTTGTGTATGATCCTTAAACATAACAAGACAAAAATCAGTCTTGTGTAGTTTTTTCCCGAAAGATGATAAGGAGGATCTGTAATAGTCGATTCATATCACATTTTCAATTTTATTAGCTCTTACATACGGATCGTCCTTCGCAACCAGACGTAAAAGATACAAACAATAACTAACCAGCATAATTCGATGCAATATCGAGATGCGATATAAGACTTCCACATGAATGAAATCCAATACACGCCACAGCACATGTTATACAGATGATTGCATATAGACGATTACAGCCGATATATCCAACGAGAATCAAAAACAACGATGAGCCAATGCCACCTAAATGAGAAAAAAGTTAAGACACAATACTTGAAGAACAACTTGCATAGAGGCCTACCAATAATTGTTTGTATCTTTCTCACTGCTGTTGTTGATAAAATACGTCTTGATCGAGCAAGATCAGCAAGTTGACCGGATAAAATTGTGACAATTAATTGAAAAACATACGGTATAGCAAACATCAAACCATTCTAAAAACCAAAATACCAATTAGACAATCGAGTTTTGACAATTAAAAAAATGTCTTTATAATCTACCTGATGCAAGTCAAATCTTAATATTGTTGAAAAATAAATTGGTAATGATGTTAGAAGAACATAATAAACAAAGTTAACACAGATATGCATCACAGCTATAGCCCATAATGGTACACAATAAAGTATAAGTTTCCATGGGGTTCGAAGCTAAAAGATACAGCAGTGCTGAAAGTATAAATATAAACACGTTAAACACATCATACTTTTCGAGTTTGTGGTATACATTTCAGTAGAAAATTCTTTTCTTTTATCGATATCCGGGGATGTTCCGATGGTGAACTGGAAGTGAATATAGACCATCCACAAAACCAAATTATTGTCAAAACACCTAAAAATATGTGATATAAATCGTATGTATTTTTTTTCTAAAATTCATTTCGATCTAGCTAGAACACACTATGACTACATAAATTATTTTCCACGTTGCTTCACGTATGTTTCGATTTAAAATTTCTTTTTAAATTTCTGAATATTCGGTATGTAGTGCATACTCTTAGCCTAACGTTTAAAACATTCCTTAAACATTTTACTATTTAGTATTTTGCTACATCTCATTTTCTTCTTCATTATGAATCTAATGCTTCCATGCAGATGAAAAAAGTCGTTCGAGGGATGCGACAGGCACTTCGGATCCTCGATATAAGCTTTCGCGGAGTATCGATTTCGAGCCGTCGAACAGAGATGTTCGGGACTTCCGAGCCCTCGCTCTCTCGAGGGTGCAACTAGGGCTCAGAAGTGTTGGAATCCGACGAGGGCTCGGAAATATTCCTCGAAAGCTTATATCGAGGGTTCGAAGCGCCGTTTTCCGAAGGCTCGCGCCCTTGGCGAAGGCCCATCGAAAACATATTTCCGAGCACTCGAAGTACTCCTCGAACAACTGGTTGGACTATTTCTATTTCTATCTTTTCTCCTTCATTCGAAAAACCTAAAATTATATAATGTGGTCGGAGATCATGACTTCGTTTTTTTGTACTTTTGTACTTTCTAAACCATCTCAGAAAATAAAGTTTAGATCAACTGCTATACCCACATGGAATAAACCAATTCTTACCAAATACATAAAATGATGATGGCCATCCTCCAAGAAATGTTGATGTACACAGCAAACTAACCAATGGTGTTGTAATAATAATTCCCACTTCCTTACCTAAAATGAAAAGAGTTCAATTGCCAGTGTGATCAACTGAAAGCAGGTGATTATAATATCACCTTCAACAACTAATCTCTATTTTTTAACCTGACAATGCAATCGGAGGAACAACACTTCGTTCCATAGGAGGTATCCACCGACCCCACAATGCACCAGCGCTTGGAAATGAAGGACCCTAAAACAATAAGCATTTAGAAGTACAGATTTTAAACACACATGTAACTCAGCAGTTTTGAAGTGCAAATGTATCATAAACTGTTGCCTACTTCAAGATTCGTAATAACAAAATCCAAAACGTAGGGGAAATAGTAGGATATTTTTAGTTAGATTTTATATCGAAAAGTAGGCCACAGAGAAGTGCCTCAAAAGGTGAGGGTGTCAAACAAACGCGCGTCATGACACTCTAGGATTCTCGCTCCCCCGTGAACTGGAATCGTATTTTAAAGACTCGTTTTTATGTGAAGCATAAAAGCTTTCATAATCTCTGTCGACGAGAACGGCGGAGGGAAACACAAAGCGTAAAAGTGAGCCATCTGATGATATTTCTTCAAGGAGACGATACTTTTTTATGGTGAGAAGTTGATAAGGGAGATAGTGCTCAGTTCTCGGAAATATCGATGTCGGAAAAAAGGGAAAAAGCTTGAAAAAGTAGGAATGTAGGATAAAATCCTAAAAGTAGGAAAACATAGCATGTTTTTAGTAAAAACTAGGAAAAGTAGGATGTCTACGAAGCCTGCAACTTACCTCAAATACTCCGATAAGTAATCGTACAATTATTAATAGCACAACGTGCGTTCTCGCAGCTAAGGGTGTTAATAACGTTAGAAATCCTGCAATCAATATGTTACAACCATATATCCATTTAGCACCAAAACGTTCAGCCAAATTTCCTTAAACCATAAAGGAGTAAATCATTGACAATCTTCTAAATATCCTGATTACCTCCGATAATTTGAGTGAATAAATATCCATAGAAAAATGAACCTAGCACTAGACCTTGTGTTTTTGGCGACCATGTGAATTCATAATGCTAAACCAGTGAAACAATATCAACATTAGAATAATATTTTTTCATTCTTTGTATGCAGGGGAAACATAATACTAACGTGTTTAATCGGTTCATCAGAATGATTACCGTTGCCTGGACACGCTGTCACAGATTGGTTTAAAACACTTTGAGGAGTTACCTAAACGAGAAAAACAACTTTACATCTCTGTAAATGTCTCCTAATAAATTCTTTTTGTCCTACCATTGCTACGATAGCAACACTCAAATTTACGCGTAGGGCATATAAACAGATAAATCCCATGAAAGCCCATGTTGCTATAACCTAAGAAAAATATTAGCAAAAAATTCTTTGCTATGCACATCGACTGTTCAGACTTACATATCGTGCATTAATATTTTTACAACAACCATCTCTAGGATCTCAAACACAAACAACAAATTAATCTCTCATATATCTTCCAATCACCAGCACTCCGTTTGAAACCTACTCACTGTGAGTTTGGACGGTATGGTAATTTTCTAGCAGCGGTTCGGAGACACTATTTACAAGCGAACCTTGATCATTATCGTCCATCATTTTTTTTGAATAAGCTTCTAATATAACACATAAAACTTTAGAAACCGCTTATCTATATATAATTATCTAAAAAAATTGAAGAAAAATAGTTTCATATAAAATAAGACAGAGATGGACGAGTCACCACTTTTTCGAGTCTAAGTCGAGTCCGAGTCAGTAGCCTTCGAGTTGGGATCCGAGTCCGAATCGCATCAAAAATTGATCAAAAATTGACTCAAGTCACCTCGAGTCATTTTCTACAGGAAAACTTCCTCCTAATTAATTTTTTCAAGAACAGTTCTTCAATCCTCTCCTGTGACGCGATGTTCTACTAAGAATATTCTCACATCTCTCTCTCTCTCTTCTGGTACATAACAAATATAATAAACACCGACATAACAATCCCAAGTTGCACATGGCTGACTCGTAAGTGACTCGAGTCAGTTTATCAAGTTTATCGAGTCTTTCACCTCGAGTCCGAGTCCGTGTCAAAGACAAATGCGACTCGGGCTCGCTCATCTCTGAAATAAGATCTTCAAGCATTTTTCTTAAACAACTGTCTATTTGCAGAGAACTAACTTTTATTTACTACTCAGAGCATGCATCCTGTCAAAGTGTATTCGCCTCTAGCTAATCCAGTTAGAAGTGTACTAGCGTTTCCGACGAATTTTATTATAAAAGAAAAGCTTAAATATGCACGCGCAACAACTACTGTCTATAAAGATAGCACAATATATGCACAAAAAAGTGTCTTATGAAAATTTCGAATGATGAAGATTTTGAATAAATGAAAAATGAAATGACCGTTTTTGCGAAGAAAAAGTCAAGTGATAATACTGTGACAGATTCAACTTAAATATAATGACAATTGCATAAACTAAAAGAAACACAAAACAAATTATAACAAATATAGAAAATTGAAAGAAAAATCCAAACCTCGTCCATAGTAAAATGAATGAATACACATCACGTACAGCGACATTAGAATCTGTTGTTCTAGTTGCATCAAATCTAAACAAATGACTTGTAGGAACCGTCATTAATATCAGATAGAGATGAAGAATTTGAGAGTGTTGTAGTTTTCAACATTAAAATCCAAATCCAAAGGGAAATGGTTAACCAGTTAATAATGCTAGTCCGGTATACAGTTATATATCATATTTAAATGTATATTTTGGGTAAATTATTGTACCGAATGAAATACCATTTATTATGTTTTGTTATCAATGCCATCGACGGTGATAAACTTCAACTGACAGATAAAGCTTCTCTTTTCTCACTGAATATATATCTATAATGAATTTTCAGAATGTTGACAACGCCATATGTTCCAATAATTCCATTTTGTTTTAGCTCATATCGATAATACAAATGCGGTCGCGTTAATAACATAGTATCTTTAAATCATGTCCAAAGCAAGAGTAACATAAAGGACATCTAATAATAAGAAAAGCATACGACATGGTTCCCATATCAGTCATCTTTGCTACTTTCATTGACGACTGATATGAATGGTTCACAATAAACCAATCGAAAGTTTCAATAATTCGAATAACTTACCTATGATATGAAAGCTACCCTGTACTGCAAAAAAAATTTCAAGCAGCACTGTCAATCGGTGTTCCTATAGCAGGTGTTCCACTGTGAATGCATGGTGTCATTATAGCTGGCGTTCCCCATAATGAAAAAGTGTTCCAGCATCTGACACTAATTAGTCACATGGTGGAACACTTTTTCATTATGGGGAACACCAGCTATAATGTCACCATACCTTACAGTAATACACAGTGGAACACCTGCTATAGGAACACCCCGTCAATCCATATCGATGTCTGGCAAGTACCGAACCAAGGGATGCCTGATATATTCTATTGAAATTGCTTTTGCTGGATACAGTATACTATATACCGGCATAGGTGGACACTGATGCTAGAAAGAATGTTAAGATCTCGTATCGACGCCCAGGATAAAAAACTATTCGGCATCTGTGTGCCCTCGTGCACGATCGTTGCTGATAAAATGTGTTTTCCAGATTCATTCAGGGACGTAGATACTTTTGAAAATTATTTCGGTATGTGCTGATTTTTAAACAAAGGAAAATGAACACATTTTCCAGCAGCAGAAAACGTTTTTAAACACCCTGCCTTTAATATGCAGATGCGTTGCTGGTTTCACTTACTAGTAATAAGAAATAAGCCACTAGTAGCAAATGACGGTAGGAAACTCAATGGCCACTTAATTTTGGCTTAAATAAACTGATTCTGGTATATCTGATGACGACTATGACTATGATCTATGTATATATTTTCAAAAATTCACTCCTTAGATATAAATTCAGTTAAGCGCATTCCGACAAAGAATAATAAAAATTCTTGATCTTTCTCACACAAATATTGCGTTATTAGCAGTTAACATCATATAACGACTTTTGAGCCAAAAACAAACCGAGTGTTTTTAACCATAACACATTTTCCGTATTGTATCTCTCTAAAAAAAGAAGGTATTTTAAAATACGGAAAATGGTATAACCATTTGAACCATATCATAACCGTTTAAACGTTTTTTACTTTTATCAGAAAACTCCTTTGGGATTTTTAGAATAGGGAAGAGCTATGATTTAAAAATCCTGAAGTGATTTGGTATTTTAAAATACGTGAAAGGTTTTTTTGTGACATGAAGAAACCAACCGTTTTTCAGAACGTAATTTAGTCGTATTTTAGAAAACGAAAATTAGTTTTTTTGATAAGAATAAGAAACTTTTAAACAGTTATGATATGTTTCAAATGGTTAAACCCTTTAAACGTTTTTCACGGGTGGTTATACCTTTTTTTTGGTTTTTCTCAAATGGAGAATACTTTTTAG